CCAAACAGCTTGTAACTCTCAGAAAATACTCTCTTTTCCTTGATTTACATGTCGATAGAGTTAGCAAAGTAAAAACATCTATTTTCTTATTATTGGGATTTTCAGAGGTTTTCTAGAAATCCATCATAAGAGAATATATTATTTTAGACTTGTTTTGGAATATTCTATTCCTTACACAGTATGCGATGCAATTTTAAGTGCTGAATTCAAATATGACCTCATTTTTTCCTGAAAGAGTTTCTGAGCCGAGAAAATCAGGTTTTACCTGAAAGATCATAGGTTTCTGGAAAATCTACCGCTAATTTGTGGTAACTGTATTGATCCTACACGGTCTACAGAACATTCTGACCAAGTTTGAGCGCGTTTGAAAAATGGTGAAAAAGGTGTAAACTACGAAAATTTTGCACCAAAACACAGTCCAAGGTGTGGAATTCAGGATCTGTACGGTCGTGTAAATTCAGGGTTAAACTATTCAACAAAAAATGCTTTTTTCCTAAAATATCGGCTTTTCAGGCCAGCTTTTGGCTAACGATGGAGGGTCTTCCGATACCCAATTCCATTTTTAATTATATTATATCAGTTAATAGTGGAAAGTGAGCTCATAAAAACCCGAAGAGGATTTGGGCCCATATTACTGCTTTCAAAAGTTATGAATTTTTTTGTTCGACAGAAATATTGTGTGCAGTAACAGTAAAAGTTTCGTAACCCATTCAAAACAAAAGATTAAGAGCTGACATTTTCTTCTCTATTTTGCTAATAGTCTGCTAATATTACCGAAAATTTGAGCGTTGTATCTTTCTACATTCGCTAGTTATTGAAATCTTCTCCTTGAAGGAAAACAATGTTTTTCTACACCGCACAATTTCCAATGATAACATATCTTTTTTATTAGAGGTGATATTGCGTGCATTTTTTCCTACTGAAAACGTTCTGTTATGAGAAGAAAACAAAGGAGGTAGTTAGCTTTGTCACGTGCGTGTTTTCATGCTTGTGGGAAAAAGGGAAGAAAGAGAGACCTGACGACTGTTTTTCTTTTGGTCATTTGATAAAAACTTTTTGTAGCGATAACAATATCATGGTAAACGCATACAACGTAGTCAGATTATTATCAACTTTCATCTCAAAGCAAATGCCATCAACTCAATCGCCAGCATTTACGCCAAGAGATGAAGAGATTGCAGAGCATTTATTTAATAATATCGATTTGATAATAGGTAGCACCGCCTACCATTTTGAGAATGAGAGCAGCCTCGACTACAATTTTGATCTTTGATCCAAGTGTATACGTGATTGAGCACTGTGAGTTTGTCGTCGTCATGTAATAGACACAACTTTGTTTAAAGCAGTTGTTCCTAGCAGAATTTATCCCACGTGACCACCTCTACTGTATTTCAACAACCGTGTAATATTGTTTTCTACTTTGCTTTCCTTCTGTTCTATACTATTCTCTCTCTCAACAAAATATATGTACAACTTTTCTGTTCTGCGTCTGTAGCCACTTTTTCCAAAAACACGTGTTGATCTATACCGTTCCATCCTCTCGATACTGCACCATGTATCCCTCTCTCTTTCTCTCTCTCTCTCTATCACACGTGTCACTACTCTATAACATATGCTCTGTCTTCTGACTCATCACAGAGTTTACAGGGTTTAGTTAGTACGACGATGGGTGGCCGAATCTGGAGCCCGAGGTTATAAGTTGTATAGATTGAGCACTAGAAGTAGAGCACACTATAGCAGTCTACAGGATGAGGAATCGAATACCTCAAGTTTACTTTTGGATAATTTAGTCCACAAGTAAACTTGTGGACACACAGCATTTTACGATGTTCACATGTGACCGCAGTTCATTTCATGATATTCACGGATGTACATGTCGTTTCATATACTAAAATTTCCTCATGGGCAGTACTATGGTACTTATGTGTAGCAGATAATTCGAGCTTTTCATATTAAGAGAGCCGTCTGTGTGTTAGTGAAGGAATCTTATTATCTTCCAAAATAAATATATGGTGTTTATATAGTACATCAAACTGTGCACGGGTATCTTAGTGGAACTTTTTGATTAATTGGGTATCCAATTAGTCTGTTTAGGCATCTACTTGGTATTTTTACTACCCTACAGAGAGTTATTCAGTATTCAGATATCTTAGATCCAGTACATTCACTAGGATTGAGTGATATGTTACTCCATATGAGAGATTTAGAAATGAATCGATAATAAAGTCATTGATTGTCAGCCGTTCCATGTTAAATCTATATTTATTTATGCTAAAGACTATTTACTCAAAACATTCAAGAACTCGGTCATATGAAAGTTTTAGTTCAGTGGAAGAACGATTTAATTCTTAAGATCTTTTCCTTCAGGTTGTTTGATGTATATAGCTTTATTATTATTTTGAAAGCGTTCAGGGTTTCTTTCATTAGCAATTCTGTTTGACTGGTCCTCGTCTGAGTCGTTCAGGTCTAGGCCTGTACACCACGCCACTGCCGCCATGGATGGCTAATTAGGATTTTTGGCGCTGCCTCCGAAGCCGTCAGAATTTTTGGGAGCTCCCCGTCACTACCCATGCTAAAATACAAACTGGTTTTATCGTCCGCCGATAGAAAAAGTTTTGGAATAAAAGAGTCATAAGAAATTAGAAAGAACAGGAAGTTATATTGTAATTGGCCTCGCCGCTGACGATAAAAAAATCTTTTAGCCGCCGCCGATTGAACAACTTTTGTTTCACGCCGTGCGCCGATTTCCCAACCGGCGCATCGGTCTATTCAGACCACACGGATCACCATCCAGAATAGCTAATCATTCATTCTAGTAACAGTTTAAAAACAACATTCTAAATACTAAAAAAGTTTCGTACGTCTAAAGAAAAGTTAACTGATCACATTGAACAATGACGAACAGTCCACAGAGATTCAATGATTATGATTTAGTTTTTTAGTTCTTTCCACGACTTAGATATGCTGAAAAAATATCGAATACTGATCCGGTCTCTTTTGGCATATTTATGTCTTCACAACAACTAAAATATTTTACATAATCAAACAAAAACTAACGATTAATGAACAAAACATTTATTTGAATACTAAAAACTTCTTCAGAAATCTTTTTAAATTAAATCAAAACATGCTAACTAGAACAACTAATCTTGATCATCGAAAGATACATAAACTGGTATACTGCTATTTGACGAAGAAACTGAAGTTTATACTAAGAAAAAAATCTTGTACTTTTGTAGATAATTCAGTCATTTCCGTAAGATTGTATAAGTGTTTTCAAGAATTTTGATGTAAATGATAATCTTTTCTATTCCAACACAAGTTGTATAATGTGTTTGATTCTGAAACAAGTAAAATTCTACTCACATCGCATGAATTGAGCTCAAAAATGTATTAGATAATATTTTAAATTAACTTTTCAAGTACATAAACATGACAGAAGATCATTAGAATACAGAGTCAAAGAAAAAATAGTATGTTTAGCAGTATAATTCCAATACAAAACAACACCGTTCTCGTTCGTTCCTCTTGCTTCCACATAACATGTGGTTGTAAAAAAACATCCAATAGAAAAAAATTAATTCTAATAAAAAACATGACACGCAACAAAACAAACAAACAAAAATGAAAAAGAAAAGTAGACAAATCTTTCTACATTTTCCTTGTAGCAAAAAAAAAAACATATGAGGATGTGGGCAGAGGGGAACCACTTGTTTTTGTTATATTTAGTTTTTAACAAAATGCTTCTAGAAAACGAATAAGCAGACAGAAGAAAAATGAATGAAAAAAAACAAAAACTAAACAAATAAAAGAAAATGTCTTTTTCTCCTAAACTGTTGTTGATGATGATATCGATGTTTTAATATCAATTGAACATTAAATAATATAGATAGAGAATAAGTATTAATAATAATAGAGAGAGAGATCTATATATACTGTAGTCTAGTTCTGCTAAAAAATGTGTGTTTTTAGTACAGAATGTGCGTAAACAACAGAGCAAAAAAGGATAGACAAATATTAAAAAAAAATTGTGTGTGTATTGGATAGTGATCATATCATTTCTAATTAAGAGGCATTCTACACACACATACACGTACGCACTCACACACACATACACATACAAACAGATATACACACGCGCAAAACAACAACAGATCATGTGTATGTGTGTGTGTGTGTGTTTGTGTGCGTGCGTCTTAAAAAACAAAAAACCCAAAAAGAGAAGAAACCTGGGCAGATTGGGAAGTCACAGTCTATTTATTATTGTTGTTGATAGTGTCTATTGAAACTTTTGATTGAACACAGCTTTCTCTTCACCTTTCTCATCTAATAAATGTGTTACCATCGAATTACCAGTACCCCATGTTTGAACACCATCAGCCACTAATGAATCACGATCAGCCCCTCTGGATGCATTACGTGCAAATATACGTATACGACTTCGGGATTTTAAAGTAAAATTAGATGGAAACTGATACACAATCTCTGGATTTTGATCGATACGACGTTTCAATGACCATCCTCTCATTTCTTGATCTTTACCACTACTACCTTGATTTTCAACAACAATAAAATTTCCTTGGGGATCAATTTGTTCAATTGATATGGGGCCTAAAACACAAAAATAAACATTTAACAATTTATAATTTCAAAGTGAGAACATGTAATAAACTTGAATAAGAAATTGCGAAGAAAGAGTGAGGTTTTTGATTGAAACTTCATGAATGAAAATGGAAGACGAACTGTTGAAAAAAGTAAGGTGTTTGTGCTCGAAAACATAAGACAGTGTGGTAAAACTCATGTTTATTGTGCATGTCATTTGAATCATGGAAAATTTCAATTTTATGTATTAGTTGTTAAAAAACTAGCAAAATCGAATTAAGAAAGACATAAAGCTCTTACGTAAATCATGTCAATACGATCTTTTCCTAGTCTAAAATGAACAAGAGTGCATATAGTTCAAAAAGTCGCCATTGTCTACCGTTATCAATAAGAATATCAAAAATTTTCTAATGTTCAATTTAGACGGTTTACTTGTACACGTGACAAGAAACCTTTAGTTTAACAACTATCATTATTGTTCTTGAATCTTCTTTATTGATCGATCTTTCAGAACAAAAACTACTTAAACAAGCACACCTCGATACGGATCGCTGCTTTCGTTCTTTTCTACTATGACCTATGCTAGACGACAAAAAATAACAACTTCTAATCGTTCATGTTGAAAACATACGGATAAACTCATTGTTGGTAAAAATAATGTGTAGCACATAAAAATGTTTAAAAAAAATATAATTATAGAAACGGACAAATGATTGATAGTTATTTAAAACTTTCAAATTAACTATCTATTTATCGACGTGTGTGTGTGTGTATATTACAATAATCGTTGCTAATGAGAAGTATTCAACAGGAGAAAGAGCAAATTGTGTGTCGTTTTATTGATAATTGAGAAAGATAGTGCATCATGCATATCAGTCGATATGGGCTTATTGATTATTGATATGCATCAAAAATGAGAAATAAATGGGAGCAAATTATTCATTGAGTATGAAAAAGAGACAGAGAGAGAGAGCGAGAGAGCGAACATGTAAAACACTTTGTTTGTTATTATTAAAGTAAAGAGTAAGAAAATTAATAACAAGAATAATATGAGTTATGAGCAAGCGAGAGAGAAAATTCGGACAACTATACTGTTAGACACAGCATTCCAGACACGCACACACACACACACATACAATGTATAAGTTGCTTGTTACGTGCAACAAGTCATGCGCTTAATTATATTACTATTAACTAGTTAAAATTTTGATTTAAAACTTAAAAAAAATGGTATCCAATAGGTTTAGGAACAAAAAAATGCATTAAAAAATCTATAATATAGAGTCTCCATGCCAGAAACATGGGGATGTCTCATTCAAAACTTTGTATTAAGCATCACACGTCTACGATAATTTATTTCATGTAATTCATATATATGTGCTTTTTACTTGCCTAAAAAAATATAATAATAATGAAAAAATGTATGTCGACATTAAAAATAATACTCTAGAAATATAGAAAATAATTTTCTCATTTTGGACAACAAGCAACATCAACTTCAATGAAATTAATAATTAATAATAACAACAAAATGGCGCTTCTCTACATACGGGAGATCAACTCATCTACTATTTACACATGCCAAACACAATAAGATATGGGCTGAGCTCAAATTACTGCTTAGTCAACGTAGACGGGCAGAACACTTTAAAAAAAATATATATTTTACAGCTAATTCTTAGAAAAACAATGAATGTACTACTTGGTATTCGAGAGGTAGGAATAAATATGTTTTACTGTAAAGTATAAAGAGAGAAAAATATTATGATTATAAAATCTGAATGTAAATTTTACGAAAATTTAGTATTATTAGACATACATAAAAAATCTCAGCACGTTAAGTTTTTAAACAGATGTAGATATATTCTTACCTCTAGCAGATTTTTGAACGGTCATTTTCTTTGTTGATAGTTGATCGGATCTATCACCACCATAGCTACCACTTGTACCTCTATCAACAATACTATGGTAAGAGCCACCAGTGCTGCTTACTCCAGTTGATGCTCTTGTTGCGTAACTACCGGCTGCATCATTTTCCGTAACCCGTTGAATATGACCTTCTTCAACTTCTAGTAATCGACGATATGTATTGATTTCAAATCTTAATGATACATTATTTTCTAAAACACCAGCAATAGCGGCTTCTCTAGCATCAATATTTTGTCTTAATTCAGCTAATTCTCGTTCTCGTTCATTTTGTGCTCGTTGATGATCAGCTTGTATACGTTCCAAATCTTCTTCCATTTGTCTTAAATGATTAGCTAAATCCGAATGTTCTTTTTGTAATGTTGAATAATTATCACGATTTTCATTTAAAACAGATTTTAATGATGTTAAATCCATTACTTCGACTTTGCCTTCGCGTTTAGCTTCATCAATTTTTCGTTTTTGTTCTGCAGCTTGTTCTTTGATTTCTTCGGTTTTTATTCTATAATATTCTTCTAATTCATGTCGTTGTGCCGATGATAATGCTTCAAAATCCGATTTAATATCAGCAATGGCACGTGTTAATTCTGTACGATAAAATTGACTAACATCAATTGGTAATGTACCCAATGTTGCCAATTCATTTCGTTCTTCTTCATGAACAGCTTTCATAAAGGCTAATTGTTCTTCTAATGTTTGTAATTCATTTTGTATCATAACTCTAGCCATTGACTCATTATCAAACTCATTTTTCAAATTTTCTAATTGTTCTAATAATCGTTTAACCTGAAATAATGCAAAAATTTTATCATTCATAAGTCTCAGTAGGGGGTATTTAAGTCTCCATTATATTTTTCTCTCATTAAACTATTCATTATGGAGGTAACCTATCGATTAGTTAAACAAAAAACTTACTTCAGATTTACTACGTTCAATTTCTCCTTTTTTATCTTCAAAACGATTTCTTAATGCATCTAATTCCGAACCACTACCTTCTAATTGTTGTTTTAACATTTGAAAACGATTGCGATCTAAATTTACTAATTCATTTGCAAAATCTGTTTGATGTTTAATTAATGATGCATCATATTCAGCACGTTTTGCTCGTAATTCAGCCAATGCTTTATCTCTTGTAACCTCATCGATCTGTTTACGTAATTGTATTAAACCATTATCATATTGCTCCTTTATTTTTCCACTATCAAAACCCCATTTTTGTTTTAAATCATCCAATTGTGCTTGTAATTTATGATTTTGGGATTCTAAAAATTTCACACGATCCAAATAATTGGCAAATTTGTTGTTCAATTCTTGTAATTCACGTTTTTCATCTTCATGTTGATGGGATAAATTTCGAATGGCATCAACACTTACACCTCCTCGACCACCACTACCATCAGCAGTACGTACACCACTTTCAATTATTGTGCGACGTATATGAGTTAGACCATCACCACCGGTATTCATTGTTGTTGTTATTATTAATTGGTTTTAGATTACGATGCAACTAGAATGATAATAATAATCTAGAAGTGTTTATGAACAAGAGATCGAAGATAATAATTATAATAATAAGTAATAAGTATAAGAAAGGAATAATATGGCTAATATTATTCAATTAGTAAACACAATTAAACCTAAAATGATACAAGAAAAAAACAAATCAAATTCAATTGATAAGTCAATTAGCATATCTACAAAAAACCTATTCAGGTTCCACTGAGCATGTCTAGACTATAATAAAAAAAAATAGATGTTTACTTGCTCTATTGGGATTACATAAGACGATTAACTGTTTGTTTAACGATATCTAATAGAGAAATAAGAGAAAAATAACAACAATGAACAAGAAATTTGAATTACTACGCTTCAACCACTAGAAAAGAAGAAACAATTAATTTAGCTTTCATTAATATCTTAATGAAATAAATTTTATATGAGAAAATATGACGCACACACTCCAAACAATCGATAAAAATATCAATTAAATATTTTCTCGCACTTTGAATCAACAAATATGACAAAATCTATTACGAACAGACGAACAGCAAATACGTACGCTCATAATAAGTATCGAATATGTGATCAATAACCTACTTTTTTCGATTGAAATAGAGGAGAAAAATCTCTGCTCGAAATGAACTCTATATGTCGTGTTATACAAATAATCATTTGAAACAAAAGAGAAAGAAAGATAGATAAAAAAAATACTACCATTTTTTTTTTCTTTTTCGCTGAACGAAGATGACCATGTTTTAGTATCGAGGTCAAAGGCAAGAGATGTGTTGAAATATTTATTATTTTTTTATGTGCATCTATATTTGATGTATATATTGAGATGATAAGTAAGAAGGATAAAGAAAAAAGAGTCCATCGCACAAGGTTTCCGGTCAACAACGAAAAAAAGATTACGCTTGACTGAACAGACAAATATCAATTAGTACAAACTATAGTGGAGATAAATAACTTTTGAAACACCAACCTGTTCCAAAATTTTTCTACCTATTATATTAATAGTTGATAGAAAGATAAATAACAAACAACATGGATGTAAATAAAAAAGAAGCCAAATACCCATAGACAAAATGGTTCCTCGTGCTTTTCTTTCTTTTTTTTTAAATATTAAACTCAAGACCAAGCAAGCAGAGATCAACTAATCATATAGCTCGTGCATATACATCTAATACTACTAAACAGCTATATATATACCAAACTTTGTCGTTATTTCGACTATGAATAATAAAAAGTCTACGCCTCTTTCTCTCCATTTCTTTATTTCTCTTCTTCTCGCATCGTCTTTTCTTCTTTCTTCGACCCACTGTATTATATAGGAGAACAACAAAAAATGGTATCTTCAAAAGTGCATATTTCTCTTTCCGTTAGTATGACGATAAGCAGAGAAAGAGAGTTGCTCGCCACTCTGCTCGCTGAAAGAAAAAACAAAAAAAAACAAAAACTGTCGTATAAAGGTAAGAATGTAAAAAACGTATGAATAGTAGAAATTATTCACCACCAACCAGAACAGATATACATATATACATATACATGTATATATGTATATATATATATATATATATACGGTGCTTTTTAGTTCTCCAAAATATATGTTGAAGAAAAAGAGTGCAGAAAAGAAACATTATTTTGTTGTTGTTTTGCCTGACTATATGCGGTTTATTAATAATATTTTTTTTTTTTATCCTTTAATATAATATATATTTTTATGTAACGATACATTCTATGCTAGAAGATTACAAAGTACTTGCTGAGTAGCAAGGCGCGAACTTTTTTGTTCTATTTTTCTTATTCATCTCATCTTATTTTCTTTTTATTGTCTTTTTTTTTTCATGATATATATTGGAATACGTGAACAACTGTGAGAAGAGAAAGAGAAGAAAAAAAATCTACATTTTTTTGTTAGCATGAAAGATGTGGTATATAGTATATGTATCTTTGAAAAACAAAAATTTATTCTCTTTCTTTCTGTGGTTAGTTTGTGGTAATAGTATTGGTTGTTATTCAATTACTTTACAGTATTCTGCTTTTCTTTGCGAATTGTTAAAAAAATTTGTGCACATGTAATAAATACGAAAAAATTATTCCACTAGAGGAAAGGAAAATAAGATACGTTAAGTGTTATTTTTTTGTTAGACATGCAATTCTCAAAATAGTTACATGAAAAACTTTCAACTATCCTCTCAACAAACGTGTAATTGCAACAGCAGTCGCGTGAAATAATTTTGCAAATGATAAGAAGACAAAGTAGTCTTTGAGTGACGAAAATGTATAGAAAATAGATATTAATAATAATGGTAAATGAAAAAAATTAATTTATTTTAAAATTCATTATGTAAACTAAAATAAAAGATATTTTTTTACTATAAAAAAAGTAAATATATTTTATTTTTTTCTACGTTCATATTCTTTTTTTGTTAGTTTAGAATGGTACAAAAAAATGAAAATAGTAAGTCATATAGGGATACAAAAATAAAATAAAATAAGAACTGGAATATATATGCGCCCGTCAAAGGACAAGGACAAAACAAATATATTGGTAAACTTAGTTAAATGAAAAAAAAACAAAATAGGAAGGACAGAAAATATGGCCTTGATCAATCATGTCGTAACACAAAAATACATATTTTCAACTAACTTATTCTCAGGTTAACATACAATCATGTAGAAGAAACTCGTCAAGGTTTCGAATTTTTAGAAGTTTCACAAAACGCTTCCTCTTTTTCTAAACTTTACCAACGCAGATGTATACGTACAAAAAATGAAGTTTTAGAATCTTGATCTGTATGTTATACTCCTGGCATTGTCTTTCTCAATTTTTTCAGAAAAACCTTCTGTTAAACACTATCTGTCTCTAGTAATCGATAATTATTCTAGTCTGTCTTTTTTATAGTAATAAAAAAAAATGTATATCCTGGCCCCATCAATTTCTACAATGATAAATCTTAATTGCAGATAAAAACAATTCTATTACCGGAAATAGATTTATTATGACATTTTCAACTAGTGACAGATCTTTTGTTATTATTCTGATGCCAAATATGTCAACTAATCAGATTTTGACCGTGAAACTTGAAATATGAATAGAATTTGTGTCGAAGGATAGAATAAAAGAGAACAAATGGTCTTTATATAACAATACAATATATTTGAAATCTTTTTATTACTTATCATCTGACATCTTCAAATTTATCGTCGAATTCGGCGAAAAAAAGGCATACAATAAAAATAAAGATGAACACTAATAACATTACTAAACTTAAGTTGTTAATCAGCTGCTCAAAGTCATTTACTCAATTTCATCTGTGAATATCAGAAGTATGTTGTTTTTCAAGTGAGATATGCTTTATAATAATAACTGCTCTTTTAGTTCTCTTACTTGTTAAACTTTATGGTCAAGGTAAAAGCTTACTGATGATAAATAACACTTTGGATACAAAATACACATTCACACTTTCACAATATAGTTTATACGTTTGAGTTTTTCGTTTGTCGCATTCACATGACGATAAAGAAACGTGCACAAGAGACAATAAATGTCTATCTTACTAGGCAAAAAAATACATTTTATGTCCTGCACGATGAAGTTAGACTTTTTTCTTCTGTTTTTATTCGTATGATCTGTACTATAGAAAAAAATGAACTGTAAAGATTTACGATGTGTTTAGACGATGTGTTGTCCCATCAGCGTGTATAGACCCTGAAGGAGAAAGAAACAAAATTGTGTTCTGTATATGTATGCGTCGAATACACAAAAGAAAATTGACTTCCATAAAACGTATGATTATAAATGTCACGCATTTACCCATACGACAAGAAGATCTCAAAAATGTTTTTCAACAACTAGAGTTACATAGTCAAAAAACAAAATGATGTTTAATTCTCAATTTCAATCTATCCTTAACTACTTTTACTTGCGGCAATTTTTCATTAATCCTTCCTTATTTGCAGTAAACTTTAGTGGGCAAATCGTATGTTTAAAGTACTTGTATATGCAATTTAAAGTTTTTCTTGTATCTCTTGTTCCTTTCCTCTTCAAAAACATAACATTGTATATTTGATCTATAATTTTACTTTTCTATGTGTCTCCTGAGTATCTCCTGAGTACATATAAAATTATTGTGGTTTATTTGCATACATATTTTCTCTTCAAGAGTTTGATTAGCTATTGTCTTTGTATTCTTTACTATGACAGGTCTGAAATTCGGATTTTTATTTTGAAGAGAAATCGAAATTGAATAGATTTTTTCTTTTTTTTGTTTTGATCATTTATTCTCCAAATCACTTTTGTATTATGCATTAAATGTTCAATATAGAAAAGAAGAACTTACAGTGAATTTTCCTTTCGTTTAAAAGAAAAACAACAACAATAGTTAAACATAAAATCAGTAGAAATCAAAATAATCATAGTTTATCGTCTATTCTATTGTGCCATACACTTACTAGTTTCAAAAACAAAAGAAGTATACACATAAAAAGTAATAAAGAGTTTATCCAATCGTCAAAAATATGCACGCAATTAAATCAAAACACGATCGTTATTTTTTTATGCTTCACTGCAAAATTTTGTCTAATAGTCTATACATTGACTAAAAAGCAAACACAAAAAAATGCCTTCAGGAAGAAAATTGTACATAATATTAACAAAATACATAAACAAACATTCTTTAGAAGTTCTACTAGGGCTGCTCAAAATCGTTACTATTCAACTTCTTGTTAATCCTAAAAATTAAGCTTTAAGATATATCAACTATTCTTAAAATGTATATAACAGTTCATGCCCTATTTTATAAACTTTTGTCATATATAAGGATAAGGGAAAAAGAATGAATCAAAGTTTATATACGTTAATAAACTCTGCTTTTTCTTTAAATATACAATAAATTTCAACATTTAACTAAAATTTTTTACTTTCATACAAAACTTGCCATTTTTTTTAGTTTCTAAATCTTATG